TGTCGCTTTCCTGTCTGCAAAAACTTCCGTCTAGAAGCTACTGCAGTATTCCGGAATCATTAGCCATTTTGATCCGCATGGGAAGAAGTCGTAAGCTCCGCTGGCGAGTTGCATGCTCCTGCGCCATCTATCCCCCAATAAATCGTGTTAGTATATCATCCAACAATCTCCTGCTTACTGTCTATACCTGTAGAGAATACACCTTCGTACTCGTAGGATGAGTAAGCTTCTAGTACAACCGTTGGAGTCGTTTTTGGCGCCCTGGTTATACAGAGACCATCCACGAGCTTGTAACAGCGGTCCACCAAATCAAAGCACCTTAAAGCAAGATTGACTTGACTATAGCTGTGTAACTCTAATGCTGAAGAGTCAAGTTCTCACGTGTATACAGGCTGTCTCTTATACACATCTAGATGTGTATAAGAGACAGGAGTTGCTTATGTGGACGCACGGCGAGGAGGCTTTGGCGAAATCCCTGGTGGCCTGTAAACTGTACAAGGCCATGGCACACGAGGCCGCCGAGGATGATTTAGACACGGAAATCTATGATGAATTGCGTGCATATGCGAAGGAATTCGAAAGCAAAGGTACGTGCTTGTAGGCCTGAGTGTTTGATAGAGAGAAAGGTCTTTTCCCTCCATTTGTCGCAGCTGGGTGCTAATGTGAGTACGAAGATCGTAGGCATCCGTTTAAAACGATTGAAAATTACAGCAATATGTCACCTCAAGTGGCTTTAGTGGTACCAAAGTTTTTGTTGATCTCTACGTGCTTTGAAGAGTTCTCATTTTTCTTATTTGTGAGTAACACTATCTTCCTAACTTTGCTTTCCAGGTATTAAACTATTGGACTTCAGCTATCGCACTGACGGGGAGAAGGCTCAACGACTACTCACTTGTGAGCTACACTCTTGGTCGAACCAAAGTTGCCTTTCGCTGGCGGTGGCCGCCAATCATCGTGCACTCTTGGCGCATCCGAGCAGTCAAGTCATACTGGCCGATTTGTGGATGGGCGGCTTGCGAACGCGCAAAAATACAAATATTAAGGTGAAATTTTAATAGATAATAAATATTATTATTATTTTTTTTTTTTTTTTTTTTATTTGTTGTTCTTAAAGTAGTATTAAGATAGGAGTATTATCATTCAAACTGCGTAAATAAATTAAATTATGTACTATATACTTTAAAATAAAAAATATTTCCTTAATTTGGTAGAAATGGAAGCTTGATATCTCGAGTTCCGTTG